GAATCTTTCTGGTCTCATTCTAGCTGACCAACAAAACGAACATACGTTACCTACCTTTAGATAACTTAGTAAACTCTTCCAACTTAAAGTTATTTAATACGTCAACTCTCCCACCTGACTCTATCATGTGTACTCTCGTGACAGAATCCAAAGTCATATTAAAACGGTAACAATATTGAAAAAAAAGAATGCATTTTTAGTCTTAGTTCAAATAATAAATATTCGATAGCACGTGTTGAATGTAAAAGTGAGACAAGAAATACGCTATTAAATATGATGTAAAAGTTCTTAAAGTTTTTAACATAAAGTTCTTTAAAGTAATATATTGATTTTCTCGAAGCATAATTGGCACATAATATGTAAGCAAGCATAATAAATAAATATTACAAAAAATAGTGAGGTGATAAATAAAAACTTGTATTTTTGACTAAAAAATCTGCTACTGTCAAAATTACAAGAAAATAGCTTCCATTCCCATCCCAATCTAAGAAAAGTATATTATTAATAATAATAATTGTTTTATTTGTACACTTTGCAAATCCCAATGACACTTTAACACCAAATTCTTTCTGAAGTGGGATCAGCCACATTATCCCGTATCAGATCATATGACTCACAATGTTTTAATCACTCTCTATATAAAGTAATGTCAAATACTCAATTCAAAATCAATTTCTTGAAAGAATTAAATTCGAAGCTTTTGGTTGAGATTTCTGAGCTTAGAAAAAAGTACTCTGAGATCAAGGCTGAGAACGTGAAATTAAAGCAGGTTATAGAAGAGAATACAAAGCGTGATGCTAGAGTTAAGGAACTAGAGCAAAAGAATAAAAAGCTTGAGACTAGGCTTTCTATATTAGAACAGAGAAAAAAGAAAAAAGTATTTTTATGGAACAATATCCAATAAATTCTAATGATACTCTGGCATCTAATATATCTGATAATACTTCAAATTCTAGTATTACTTCTGATCCCATGCCTGAACTAGTACAATCTTCAACAGAGCCTGAATCTTCTGCAATCTATTTATCACAAGATGTTACTGATGATGATTTGACCGAGACTCTATATAAGGAACAGGTTAGTAACAAAATAATGGAGAGAATTAGAGAAAAGAAGCTTCAAGATCAGAAAGTGTCTTCTGGAAAACAAAACACTTCTTCAGGAGAATTAGAAGAGTTGATGATACCTCCATTATCATGTGATATGAAAACTGTAAACACTATTCATGATCAAGAAAAGACTTCACCAAAAGAATTCATACAAAATATATCTTAAAAATCTATTAGAAATTTAGCTAAAGCTAGTACATACATGCCAAGTGAAGTTGTACAAGGTTTGTTACAAGGATTTTTAACAAACTCAATAGGAGAAAATATTAAAATTATTAATAGTGAGTCTTCAAATTCTGCACCTGCTGAGCTTGCTTATTTGTTATATTAGACTAGTAAAGTGAAAAAAAATCTATCAAAGCTAAGCAGGAAGAAATTTTATCTTGGGGTCGCTATTCTGAAAAATATGAAAATAGATTTATAAAGCTTATATCTGAAAATAAAAATCTTAAGGATAAGACTACAAGAATCCAGATTTATAATAAAATGAAACCATACCTCATGAACATTTCTGATAAGTATTTACGCAAAATAACAAGTAAAGCAAGAAAAATTCTTAAGCTATTCGGATGGGAATATGATACTATAATCCAGGAAAAAGTTAGTGAAATAGGATGACATATGATTAAACAAGTTACTTACAGTGCTGATACTATTTCAAGACTTACTAATATTGAATCAGGAGTTGAAATCAATAGAGATAAGTGCCTCAGATATTGAAATCTCACCTAATAATACGACTCAAATCTCCATTCACAAAGTGACTACCTCCAGCAATTCCTCTGATGTTGATAAAATAAGTGGAGAAGTCTCACGCAGTGAAAATATTATTACATCTAAATCTTTATCGGAGGTGAGTAATGATCGAGATTCTGACTATGAATACAATTTTAAAGATCACTTCGATAACAGTGAAGATGACTCACAGAGTGAGAATACTAATACAACTAAGGATAATGAAAATAATGAAGATTTCTTCAATAATGATGAAGATGATAACGATAAAGGAGGGTCCTGTGAATTTTCTGATGATAATAAAGAAGGATATTATTATGATTTAAATATCAGTGAAACTTATACAAAATCGGATCATTTAATCTATGCATATTAATGATTTTTAATATAATCCCACCTTCTCATAATAAATACTCGAAGTTAGATATTTCGTTATATACTGTATATGGGATAACTATATAATTTTTTTTCAAATATATGAGTAAAATGTTGTGTCACATAATGGTGATATAACTCAACCTTGACTGATTAGACATGATCTCAAAGTTTGGAAGTTTTTTGATAATTAAATAATCAATAAAGTCTACTCATATTTGAACTTTGTATTTTTATTGCGTAGTATTTAACATAGTATATACATATTACACATAAATCATCATTGATATCACGAGTTAATAAAGATTTTTGCATGTATTGTAAATATATCAATTGTGATTTTTTTTTCTTGGTATTTTTCTGAGCGTGTTCTTTTTTGGAATGCTGATCACTTTTGCCAAAAAAAATTCTCAATTATTGTTATCAGTGAAGCTGGCATGATCAATACAATACATCTATCACCAAAAAATTAAATCATATGCTTGTAGTATATTCAAAATAAATTCCACATGTTTGAAATAGATTTTTATTTATGGAGGTGTATTTCATATGCTCTATCATTTATCATAAGCAATTATTCATAATTGGATAATATCTGTACAGTTGATTTTATATAAATATCAATACTTGAATTTGAGAGACTTTACCATTTCACACTTTAATACATGAAATGCACTTTTTTTTATCACATCACAAAAATATTATAAATACTTTGAACTTATCCTCCCTTAATATATATATACAAAATATACTATTTGACATAAGCAAATATGAATAGCTGAAAATATAGTTCAAAAACTCAATTTATATGAATTATAGACTTATTTCTAAAGAGTCTGATTATTTGAACTATATTCTATCTATTAATATTTCTAATATGTTCTATATTTTTTGGTATATGATCAAAACTTATAAAGTTCATTATTATGTATAACTACATTTAGTTTTATCATTTTTATTATATTCTGCTGTTTTGTAGAATGTATCCTGTACTTTGTAAGAAATACATGAAATAAATATATATTAAAGATACTGAGCTTTGCCCATAAATATCAATATATAGAAAATAACTTTGAACTAGATCTAAGAGATGGTCCAAGAATCTGTACTAAAATTAAATCATAAATTCTTATACTATAAATAATCAAATTTAATAGATTTAAATTCTTAAATATCATATAAATTGCATAATTTCTATAAACTACTTAATCATTAAATATGATCTACACAGATAAATATCCAGTTTTGAGCATTACTGAATGAAGAGATAATTGTCAATTTCCAGCAATACTTGATAGAGAAACTCCATCTGAATTAAGGTTGCTTGCCGAAATCTCTTAGTAACTGTCTAAATTCTATCGAAATTATAATAAACTATTAATAAATAACCCGTCAAAATTCTGACGAATTTTGAAACCCGTCGTAACCGAAATTATGTCGAAATTCTAATTAACAATTAGTGTGTAACCCGTCAAAATTATGACGATATTTTTCTGAAAGGATTTAGGCAAGCATCCTTAATCTGAATGGAAGAAATGAATCTAAAATTAGTTAATATACTATAGAAAAAATAATCATCTAGATGATGATAAAAAGCAATATCTTATTGCAAGAAAGTATGAATCTTTAGAAGCATATAACAATAGATTTTATATTGAAATAAATATTGCTATATGTTATAGCTGTGATCAGTTTGTTTATATTAATAAAAAAATAGAATATAAATCATATCTCAATTATAAGATAGAAGAACATTGGTGTACAAATTGTACTGAAAATAAATATTGTGATATTAGCTTCAAAAAATATATGGAACTTAAGCAAAAACCAGAAGTTGAACATAATATCTTTACAAGGTTAGCTATTTATCAGTATAAATTATAAATAGAAAATCTTATCAATAGAGTTAAACATATTTGAGAAAGATTCAAATTGTAAATATCATTAGAGAATATGTACTTTAATTTGTTTATAAATTAAATAGTAATTTAATAAAAAAAAATTAGCTATGAAATATAAAATAAATTATATCAAGTTGATTGATCAATAATATAGGTTAATTATTTCTTAAAAATGTAACAAGTTAACAATATATAATACACATATCTATTTATTTGATTTATTAATTTTATAACTTATTTATATAAGTATGAAAATAATATGAATTTGTATAAAATAAAATGATAATAAAATAAAAATAAAATGAAATATTATAAAAATAGTATGAAATAAATATGAATAATATAAAATAAATATGGATATGATTTATAAATCAATTATCCAATGAAAATTAACTATAAAAAGTTATGTGATATGTTAAAATTCATATTATAATAATATTTTAACAAAATTTTGCATATGATTTGATTTATTTATTTTACTAAGTCATTTATTTGTGAATAGTATGATATTGCCAAGCAATATTTGATTTGATTTGCTTTATTAAATGCTTGCACAATTTCATTTATAAAAGTAGTGCCACAATCACTAATTAATTCTTTTGAAAAACCATGTCGAATTATAATATTTTCAGTTAGAAAAGATATAATTGATACTGCTATTGTATCTTTTATAGCTCTAGCTTCAACTCATTTAATAGTATAGTTAATTGCTATAACAATATAGCAATTTTCTTTTGTTGTTATTGCTAAAAATTCAACTAGATTAATACTAATCTTTTCAAAAAGTTCTCCAACTTTGATTGGTATTAGCATATTATTTTTCTTTATCTTTTCTTTTTGTTAACATATGTTACATGATTTGATATATCTTTTCATATTTGAGACCAAAAGTACTGCTTGTTGATTTTGTAGAAAGTATTTTCTATATCTAAATATTCAGTATGCAAATCTGAATATTTATCTTTTAAAATATCTTCAATTTCATTGATCTTGATTATCTGAAGTGATTGTTTTTTATTATTTTTATTCTTTTTGTATAAAATATTCTTTTTATATAAAATATTATTTTTAACAATATATTTTCTAAGATTTACCATTAATCATTTTTGTTTGTCCATTGAGAGATTATTCAATAAATGATAAGAGATTAAGTAATTGATGAGATTTATATAGTTATCAAAATTCATGTTAAATAATAATTGAATGTGATATAATATGAAATTCTAGAAAGTGAAATAATATTGGAATGAATTTTGCCTTTTCAGTATTCAATCTCAAAGTAATATTCATGAAATTATATTATTCAGCGAGCTAAGCATCCAGGTGAATTAGATAATCATTTTATAGCTGAATAATCAGTAATCAATTGAATAGATGATGAGAATATAAATAAGATCTAAATAATTTGATAATTCAAATTATACCAAGACATTCTAACTTAGTTGCATTATATTTACTTTTAACTGCAGTTATTTTTCAGCTAGCATAAGCTACAATGTGTTCACAATTTTTATCATTTATTTGTATAAGAATAGCACCAAGTCCAAGTTCAAAGGTATCAGTATAAAATATAAAAGATTTATCAAAGTTTGGATATATCAGTATTAAAACTAAAGTAAAATGTTGTTTGAGTTTTTCAAATGCTACTTGACATGTTGCAGTCCAATTAAATGGTTAGTTTTTGTGAAATAATTTGTGTAATAGTAATGCTATTTCAACAAAGTTTTTAATAAATTAACAGTAGTAAGATGCCAATTCAACAAAATCATGGAGTATTGTTAAGTTTACTGGTGCTAGAAAATCATGAACTTTTTCAATCTTTGCTGAATCTGAATATATTTCATTTTGTATGATAATATAATCAAGAAATAGTAATAAAGTTTTACTGAAGTTATATTTATTGCCTTGTATTTTTAATTTAGTAGCATGAATTTTGTTGAAAGTTTTACAAATATATATTAGATAATTGTTAAAAGTATTAGAATAAATTATTATATCATCTAGGTATATTACAACAAATTTTTTATTATATTCTCTAAGTATGATGTTTATCAAGCATTGAAAAGTAACTGGTTTATTTATCAATCCAAATGACATAACATTGAATTGATATAAATCTTGCTTTATAATAAATATTGTTTTTGAATAATCTTCTGGCTTTATCTTAACTTGTCAAAATCCAGAAGCCAAGTTAATTATTGAGAAGTATTTGGTTGTTTTGAACTCATTTAATAGTTCATCAATATGGAATAGTAAATATTGATTTCAGATAGTAATTTTATTCAACTTTCGATAGTTCACATATAAATGAAATTTACCATTTTTCTTTTTGACAATTACAACTGGAGCTGACCAGAGACTTTCAGAAGATGTAACAATTTCATCTTCTATCATTTTGTTTATTTTATTTTTCAGAAATTCATTTTTCAATGATGATTTTCAATAGTATGATTTAAGAGTAATTGATTTAATAGTGATGGTGAATATTTTATATTGAATAATTGTAATGCGTTCAGATTTACTTAGATCAAATAAGTCTAAATATTTATCTAACACTTTATTTAATTATTTGTTTTGTTCTAATGTGAGATCAGTTTTATTACATTATTATTTCCATTTTTTATTTGTTCAATTAAGTTAACTTCTTCTTTTGGTATTATCTTAAGTTGATTATATATAAATTTTTCATTACTACAAATTAAACAGTTACTATTTTTCATATTGTCATCATTTTACTTGGATTTCAAATATATTATATCTTTTTATGTACTCAACACATGTTTCAAGTTAGATGGAAGAGATAATATAAATAACTAAAGATGATAGTATGTATTCAATAAATTATTAGTCAACTAAAAAGTAACTTAAGAAATCTTCTTATAATTTAATGTGCATTTAATAATTATGATAATGATTTATAGACAAGTAAAATATTATAAATTTAATTTATTAAATTATTTCAACAATATAATATCACAACATGTGAGAGGTCAAACTATAAATATAATATTACAAATATGTAAGAGATCATTAATATAATATTACAATGTGTAAGAGATTATAAACATAATATCACAAATATATGAGAGATTATAACAAA